TGCTTTCCGTTTCGGTTCTTCATATTTCCTAAAGCGTTTGTCTGATGTTCCTTACATAGCTCTGAGAGAAGTCAACAAGTCCAAGTGGACGAAAACGGCCCAAACTAAGAGATTTTGTGTAAAGAATAGAAATAAAGTAAATCTGCAGTGCAATATATTATTGAGAAACACTCAATCTCTTAGAGTGTTGGTCATGTCTACATCGCCTGATAGCAAAAGCTAAAGTAAAATGTATTTTAAACCTTCAACTATATTCCCTGTCCTACATCTTCAAACCTAATCTGTCAAAATTCAAAATTCAATTCTTTTTTAATAATTTGGACACGAAGACTTTTTAATGAATTACTTATTTTATGTATATATATATATATATATATATATATATATATCTTTATCTTTAGTCTTCTAATCTTTAGTTAAAGTTAAGTTATTTCAAATACATATATGAGAAATTTCTATGATGTACTTAAAGCAAAGCATAACCTCAATGTATCTTAGCTAATAGAACGTGGCCGAAGAGCATACATAATACATAAACTAGAACTTTTATTCCGCGAAGAAGATGACGAATTGATAAATGATTGGTTAAATGATTGGATAAATGTTTCGATCGAATTACACTGATGGCAAAAAAATTGTCGTTTAAAGTGAGAAGAAGATTGTTTATAAAAGGCATGACTGCAATGGGCATAGTTCGTAGTATCTTAGCAGCGGCAGTGGGGTTTATCCTATTGCAAAATGAATTTCGGTTACTTTAGACTCCGCATTGTATACTTTTGCAACTCCGATTTGTAAGCACTATCCGTGCACTATCAATCGGCGTGCTGAAGTGGAAGAATTCGTTAGCAACACTCTCTGAGAATGGCAATCGACAGTTAATAACAGGAAATTGTATATTTCAGTTTGAGTGATCGTGGCCCTCCAAAGAACATTCTCCTAATATAATACGATTAAGTCTTTTATGTAAATTGAAAACAGATAAACCACATCACTCAATAAGTCTCCGATTTGACACACGTTTATGGCAACACTATTAACAGACCCCTATGACTTTTAGATAACATCAACCTTCAAACGATATGTGGGAAATTTTCATGATATTCCGATAATTAATTTACCGGTTACAGTGACGTTAACTGACGCTACCTTGGTTATTATTCTCCTTTTTTCATGGAAAAAATTGCTATTAACGAACAGCATCGACTTGAAAGATATGATAACGACTCTTGACTATCGAAAAAACTAATTTATGGAGGTTTTGTCCATTTTAAGCAAAGTCTTCCGAATTCAACAAAAACATGCACAAATAGGTTTTGGATGACCGCAAAGCGAAGTACGTACACGTGACACCCTAAGAAAAGGCAGTATATCGACCACTTTGCATGAATATCGTTTCGAAGTGGACGCCGCGTTTGCTCACTTTTGACCAACAAAATGATGCGTTTGCGAGGAAATATGGAATTATTACTAGAATGCATAGTCAAATTGGCAAACGGCCGAAGTGGGATTGAGAAAATGCGAATGGTATAATATTCATCGGTTATCTTCAAAAGGGACGTACGGACAATACGACATATTATGTAGCATCATATCGATTACAAAATTACAAAAAAGCATCAAATTAGACCGAAGACTTACTGAGTGATGCGATACGATCGGTAGTCCCTATCTTATATAAACGGTAAAGTGACAATTAGAGTAAGTAAAACTTTTTAATATAAAATGAAGTCAACAGATCAAAGCGTCAATTGGGGCCGGTTTATAGAAACTGTTGAAATTTGAAATCAATAAGAGAAATCGATGCTTAATTTGGTGAACTCAAAAACCTTATAAGCTTATGTTCGCCTTTACCTTGTGAAAAGTGAAGGAGAAACGATTGGGACCTTGAGCTCGTTTTCTTACCAAAAACAATTTTTTATTGCAAGAACAAAGAGATAAGGACGGCAAGTAGCGACAATTGAATGGTCAGGCACCGTGAGGAAAAGAATACGTAAGCGCGGCGTCCATCATGTGTATTTTCTAGAACTATTACCATTTGCTAAGCAAATGTAGCCTAGTATAGACAAAATACACAAACAAACAAACAAATCAAGTCGGGCAATGTAATTAAAACGGCGGTAATGTCCACACATGCAACCGTAAGGAGAAAATTGACTTATAATAATAGGTGTGAGAAGGTCTCGAATCTCTCTTTTGGTTTGGCTGAACGAAAGAACCGATTTAATTAATATTGCTACGTAGATTGACCAGACTGAAGGCTAAAAGCTATGATCGTGTTTGTTCTGCTGCTTAGCATTTTGCATAGAAAGATTCACGGATGCACTTATGAACGAACGTAACTAAATTGGCGACGAAGGCATGTACATTGGTTAACAGAACATCACACGTTTAAGCTATGAAATTTGTATGCGTTCCAAGCGTTCGACAACTCTAATGTAATACAAATGCAGGCGGAGTAAATTAAAAAAAAAAAAGCGTAATAACAAGCAAAATGTTTCATGTTTCTTAAGTTAATTTTTATTAAAATTTTATTTTACTTGAATTTTTTATACTGAAAGCTTTTGCTTGCACCGCATCTCAAGGTAAACTGGGTTGAGTGCTTTATTTTTTATTTATTTATTTTGTGTTTTTCATGCTCTTATTTGATTAATAACCATAATATGTATGTATGGATGTATGTATGTATGTATGTATGTTTGTATGTATATATGTATGATAGCAAGCATGTGTATTAAATGCATAACATATGCATAAATATAAATATATACAAATGTATACGTTCACGTACAGGCGTATTTGCATATGTTTATCTACCTTCATTACTTCATTATTTCGTATATGTTATTAACTTATTTATCTTATATATATATATATATATATATACATATGTACATGTATACATTTTATAATCATAACAACAAATGCCGTTAAAAGAGAAAAGAAACAAAAAAAAAAAAAAAAAAAAATAGAAAAAAATGAAAGAAAAAGGAAAAACAATAGACAAGTATTACGACTTACAGAAAACCAACGCGTTGTAAATAAAAATTTAAGATATTGTATATATATATATATGTATATATGTATATATGTATGTATGTTTTATAGCAAATGTGTGCCCGCGTATTGGTATGCACTCTTTGCACAATGAGAACACAACAAAAAAAAAAAAAAAATAAAAATAAATAAATAAATAAATAAATAAATAAAAATAAAAATTTATAACAACAACAACAGTTTAAAGAGAAATATTTTTGTTAAACAACAACAGAGCGCAACTCAAGCTGACTTCACGTTTAAACAACAAGTTTTCGTTTCTGTGTTTGTTTTTGATTCAATTTTCCTTTTTACATGTGAATGTTGCCAATTCTGGTTTCTACTTTTCAAAAAAAAAAAATAAAAAATATGTGTTAATATTATTAATAATTGCTTATTTGTTTTTTTCTTTCGATTATTTGTATACAGAAAATTTAATGTTTGCGAAAATATTTATAATATAAAGTGAATTTTCGTTTTACCTTTTTATTCACTTCTCTCGAAGACTTCCTCCGAATATTTTTAAATGAATGCTAACGAGCTACTGAAAATCAACTAAAGTCTGGTAAGTATTTATTTATGGTACTTTTAAAATCATTTATCGAACCGTCACAATTGTTTTTTTTTTTTGGGTTCGAATCACTAGGCTGTCTATTAACACCACCCCATCTAATAATCAGATATAAGATTTTTTTTTTTTTTTTTCTGACATCAATTATCCGAACGTACATGCGCACACATACACAATTCCCATACAACTTTAGTTGAAGTGCGATTCTTTATTTTATCTTCAGCCGCATTTCCGCTTACACTCAGCTGCTAATCCTCCTCTTTCCCTCATCGTACTGTTGACAGTATCTGTAAAAGCATATATCTTAAGCAATGCGATTAAAAAGCTGACGTCATTTAATGAAATGTAGATTTTTCCTCATCATCATCATTGCGGGAATAGTGCGCAGATTTTTCTCATACTATGCTCCTTGTCCAGTGATAGTAGTTATCTAACTTCAGCGGCTTTCTCATTTGGACACGACTTGTATTTATACTGTCTGTTAGCTGAATTTCTTAGCAGCAGTCTTGCTATCAGCTAGCAGCAGTTCTTCTTACACTTACCTCCCTTCTTCGGATACCGCATACTATTTTCCTCTTCCTTTGCTTCTTATGCACTTATTTTGACCGTATTAAACGTGATTTATATTTTTGGTTTCTCTCAGATTATATCTAATAAGTCTAACAAGCCCGTTCTTTCTTTGTAAAAATGTCATAGACCTTATAGGTTTTATTATTTATTTTTGTTATTTATTCATTAATTTACATTTGACTAGTGCTACAGCAGTACCAAGTATATGAATACGATTTCTTAATAGTGTTCCTTCCCCATTTATTGTATGTGGTCGGACTCGACGGACATAACTACCTGATGTGGCTCCGTCTGACATTTGCCTGTTTCCGAAGCTAAACTATCACTTCGAGGAAGACGTTTTGAGCCAATTGAAGGTATAAAACAAAGTTGACTGAAGTAAGCATCGAATTGTACTGGAAACGATGGAAGCAACTTTGAATGCAAAAAACAAAAAAAAAAAAAAACAAGTAAGAGAATTATATTCGGCGGTGGCTGAATCTCGCATACCCATCACCATGCTTTTCGCATTCTACTCCACAAGTTCTTTTCATTGACACCCATATTGCTGGCATAATTAAGAAGAAAGCGTTCGCGGTATCTATCATATTGATTTTAGAAGTAACCCATTTTTAGGCAAATGATCTGTACATGTCTTCATTTGAGGAATTTAGAAAATAGTTTGAAATATTTTGTCTTGTTTACCCTATGATTAATAGGCATAAAACCGCAAAAAAGTGGAAAAAAAAAAGATTTAGTCAATTGTAAGCTTATGTGGGCATGGCCTATTCTTCCCAATTTTGCGGGAAAAGAGTAAAATGTTTCGTAAAGTAAATGTGGAAAATTTCAATCTTGTAACTTTTATGATTTTTGAGCAAAGTGCAAAAACCCGAAAATTGTTGTGAAGAAAAATGTAGTTGCGATCGCGGGGCTTCTGCTCTAACCCATTTGGCCCATTTTCAATACCAAGCCGCGTGCAAAAACTTCGCAGATTTCAACCAAATTTCAAGCCAATATTTTAATTTTTGCGATTAGGAAAGTGCCAACAGCAAACACCGCATAGACATATAGACGGACAGACATGACTAATCAACTCCGAATTTCACACGCATCCAGACTGTGTATGCACTATAGCGTCTGTGAAGCTTTCTTTTTGATGTTAGACATAGATTAAGAAAACAAACAAAATGACGCTACGTCCATCTTAAAGTGGTGGGCATAATAAATAAATAAATTGTTAACAGTTAAGGAGGCATTTTGTAAAAAATATATTTTCTAGAATTTGTGGTCGTTTAAGAAGCATTCTTGAAATGAAACCTATGAACCAACCGCTCGGAGGAATCGTAAAAATATTTGCTCGAAAATAAAACTTTGATGAGGAAAATTTTGATATTTTCTTTTATTCACCTAGCTTTCCAGTGATATCATAGCATACACACAGACGGATCTAAGTTGAGCTTAATCGCGAATATGAACACTTTATGAGTTCTCTGCTTCGTGATATAGATCTGTGTTTGGCCTAAGCTAGAGTCTTCACTTCGCTTAAGTCCCTTCATCTTTGCGCAACTCAGCCCGTTCTTATCCGATTGCTTACCTCTTAATGGTGCATAAAAATTCGCTAGAATACCGCCCTGTGATTAAGTTCATATTATTATATCGATATAGGATGAACATCTTGCTATTAACAAAAATCTATGCGATATGTTTGTCTGGCATGTTTTGTATCACATTTAGTTGTTTTTACATGCAATCAATATTGTTTATTTAATTTAATTAGTTTAGTCCAAGTTAATAACTTTTTTAGAACTATTGCTGTGTGAAGTCTTGCTAACTGCTTCACTCAATAAGTTCATAGGATAACGTTTAGGCGTCGTCACTATTGATGATTTCGAATGATTTTTAGATAGTTTTACACGTTAAATGAAATCTTTTATGAAACTCGTATATAGAGTTAGCAAAAATGAACATTAATATATCATCCTACAAACTTATTGAGTGATATTCTATATTTGTTGTTTAACTGATTCTAAATCTGAGTAGCTGTCGAAGTTGTTGCATTCAAAAGATTTTGTATGTAATTTGAAACTCTTCGTTTATTTTCTACTCTGCTCATTTTAAATATATTCGCTCAGCATTTTTTATTTAACATTTAGTCATAAATAAATTTGTTAAATGTACAAAGAGCCTTTTAACGACGACAAAGTGCAAATGCAGCCGCTGAAGAGTAAGTTTACACATAAATGAATTGTCATTGTGCGATGTTATTGACTCTTCTTTTTTCACGAGTACATACATTCTGTTCAGCAAATCTAACTTGAAGTTTTTTATTTATTCATTTATTTTTATTTTGTTATTTTTTCTTAAATGATAACAAATTCTGCTCCCTCGATGCGTGTAAAGAAGAGTCAGTCAAGCAAATATTATCATCCGGTAAACACACAATACGTTTACCATTTTATTTTTTATGCTTGTCAAGATTTAGAAAGCTTCTGTTTAGGACGAGCATTACAAATTTCGCAACTTTAATCTTGTTACGTTAATCTTAGTTATAAACTTATTCATATGTGTGCGTCTGCGTGCAGTAGAATGTGATGTTTTTTATTTTTAAATTAAATAATAATAAAAGTACACAAATGGCAGAAACGAAGGTGACGCTCTTCCATATAAAGTATAAGTAAATATCCATCAGAATAGCATTATGCCACTATGATGTTGTTATGGTTATGTAGGCGTTATACATTGGTTTTGGATTTACATGCCAATACACGACATTGCCTTAATATGGCAACTAGTTATGTGCTCACCATATAATTACTTGGATATATTAACAATATGATTGCATTTGTAACGTCTACAGACATAGATACTCTTATACACTTGACTTAATATGTTCGCGGTTGGGGCGAGAGTCCGTTTGTTAGTTCGCCAATTGAGAAATTCCACTGTGTCCACTGTGTTTCCTACCTTTCTGTTCATCGGTCTATCAACTTTTCTTTTGTTTATATTTCCTTCCATCCATCTGTCCGTCGCACTTGCCAATTTTTCATATGTGAATCCGTTCGAATCAATTCGTTTTTCTCTTCTCTTATATAGTTTGTTCTTCTGTTTTTTTCTATACGTTCACAATGCTCGAAAGGGGCTGCGATGTCTAAAAATCGAAAAGTCGAAGTCAAAACCGATAGGTGAAATGAGAATCGAAGCAAAAGTTTTTCTTCGTAATAGGTGGCGACTTGTAATTTAAAATTTTACTACGGCCATGCAAGAGTATCACATAAGAACAGTCCAAACCGGCATATTGAAGCTCGTATAAGTGTAAGCCAAAAATAAAAAAAAAATAATAAAAACTATTTGAGATGGTGGGTATACAAGATTGGCCACAAGGCGAACACAAATCACTCACTTGTTTTTTTTTTTATGCTTTTTTCTTGCTGTTGTTGTTGCTGCTGCCTTATACTATACTTTTTCGTTAGTTTTTTTCTTTTCCAACTTTTTTGTCATCCATTAGCTTAGGCTAAACTTAAAACGCTTTATAATTTTCTCGCATATTAACGCAAGATTATTTTTTGCCCTGATTTATATATGTAAGCCAATAGAATTTACAGGCTAACTTCAAATAGCGCTGTCATGCTCGTTTCGATCCATTTCAACCTTTGATTTTATTAAAAATTCGAGCACTTTTTCATTGCACGTTGTAGAGAACTAAGAGATCTAAGTAACTATTTGCTTATCCTAGCTATTCGGCTCATGCTTCGAATGAGAAATGTATAACTATATGTACTATATTGCATATGTTAAGCATAAATGTACATACAAATGTGCAAATCAAGAGATCAAAATATTACTCATAATTCATATATAAATGTGTGGAATATTGTGTGGTTATGTCTCTGTTACTTCATATTGAATATATGTATATCAGTCATATACATTTGAACGCGTGCATATATTTATGCATATATGTACATGAACGTATACCTAACATTGGTCAATCGTTTCCCCATTTGCTTATGTTTGACAAGCAACTGGTAATGTGTTTTCTCGTTTTTTTTTTTTTTTTTAATTTTTTTTTTTTTTATTATTTTTTATTTTTATATATTATTAACATTTATTCGTCGTTCATTGCATGCATACATACGGAGATACAATTGAAACTGATTCAATGTTATTGATTATATTTATGAAAATAATAATAATAATAATAATAATAAGTCAATATGTATGCAAAAATCGTAAAGCACAAAATTGAACAGAGTCGCTTGGTTCTCTCTCCTTTATTTCAATTTCTTTTCTTTCTTTTTTTATCTTTTATCATCAAATGAAATATTTACGAAATGAACTGACTTTCTGTACAAACAATTTTCACTGAAATGAATTCGTTCTTTTTTTTATTATCGAATTATAGTAAAATATGAAATGCGAAAAGGTTCACGTGATGTCTCAATGAA